CCCAAAGGGTACAGCTTAATCAGAGCGACTGAGACAGCTAGCCTTCCAACATTGAACTCATTAATTAATCTTTAACTGAATGCTTGTCTACTCATTACTACCAAGAGATGAATGGGTTTGCACTATCTATTATAATTTTTTTTTTAAAAAAACATATAAAATGCTCAAAGATTTTTTTTTTTTGGTTGAGATTTAATGTCCGACAGGTTTTAATATGTAATTCATATGGACATGCTGATTCCATCCCACCCCATAAAATTAGTTTTTAAATTAATAATATTACATAATATCAGATTAGTCTATTATGCAAATCAAATTAGTTTTAATTACTTTTCATCAAATTCATTTTAAAACTTAAGCTAGTCAACAAAAGCTATTTTTAATCAAACAGGCTTACCCATTTGCCCAATACTCAAGGGATATACATAACAGCAATGCTCTGTCAGTTGGCTCCTTGCTTTCAAAACCCATTAATTTCTCTCTAATTTGACATGCAATTTTCTGTTATCAAAATTCTTCTTGACCAGTGCTTGATAATTACACTCATGGGAGAGGCAGGCTTTCTCTGACATACATTATATTTGTTATACATTGCTGTCAAGTATATGCTTAGAAAAAACTAGAAAACTGACCAGTCAGCAAGGGCCCCGCCATGGGGTAGAATTAAAAGGGTGCAGATAACGGAATAATTAAAAAATGTACGAAGAATAAGCAACAGCAATTGTATTCTTAAAATTTCAAGATAATTCCTGATATTCAAAAACCTGAAAATAATATCCTTGTAGTTACATTAGGCAGTAAAGAACAATTTAACATTGAATGTATTAAACAATTATGAAGCTTGTGTTATGTAGAATGCCAGCCTTCAATGAATGCAAATATCATGAAGGCTTGACCTTAACTTCAAACAAACAGCAGTTGCAGACAAAGGTTTTCATTAATCTTAAAGATAAAGAAAAGCCTACTAAATTTTCTGCAGCAGGCTAGATAATTGATCCCAAAGGATTAATTGTACCTCTGTCATCATTTTCTTCTAAAGTTACAATAAGAACTTTTTCAGTATTAATGATAGAATGGGGTTTTTATAAAACTACCTTAAAAATTAATTAACATAAATTGAAAAAAGTAATTTAAAAAAATCTTCTTTAATCTATTTCTTGTCTTTAGAATTCAATGAAATCATAACTATTAAACAAAAATAAATTATTAAAAATTTATATCTAAATCCACATTTCACAGTGTTCATAGCATTCCAAATTGACTTAACTTCAAAACAAACTTCATTTGCAGACAGAGGTGGTAATTCATCTCAATGTGACAGATAAAGATAATGCTCTGGATTTTCTTCAGGAGGAACTTTTTCAGTATTAATGATAGAATGGGTTTTTTATAAAACTACCTTAAAAATTAATTAACGTAAATTGAAAAAAGTAATTTAAAAAAATCTTCTTTAATCTATTTCTTGTCTTTAGAATTCAATGAAATCATAACTATTAAACAAAAATAAATTATTAAAAATTTATATCTAAATCCACATTTCACAGTGTTCATAGCATTCCAAATTGACTTAACTTCAAAACAAACTTCATTTGCAGACAGAGGTGGTAATTCATCTCAATGTGACAGATAAAGATAATGCTCTGGATTTTCTTCAGGAGGAAACCTAATTAATCCCAAAGGACTCATAGCCAGCATTCATTTTACAATGGGAACATCTTCAGCAGTTATCTCTCTTTGCCAATGCATTCTAAAGTTAAGGAATCTACCCCACCACCCCAGCTCCAAACCAGGGGACACAGAGAACCAAACTTAGCATCAAAATATGTATTTCTGCCTACTGAACTACCATACCAAATTTGAACTTGATTGGGCAACCATAAAAAAAAAGTTGCCCATTCATTCTTATGCATAGTTAAGGAATCTACCCCACCACCCCAGCTCCAAACCAGAAGACATTGAGAACCAAACTTAGCATCAAAATATGTATTTCTGTGTACTGAACTACCATACCAAATTTGAACTTGATTGGGCAACTATAAAAAAAGTTATTAGGAAAAAACAGAAATTTTGTGGACGGAAGACAGACAGACAGACAGACGGACAGACAGAGTGATTACTATAGGGCACCCGCAAATCCTTGCGGGGCCCTAATAAGTATTTTCTTGATTTAACGCTTTTTAAATAAGAACAGTGCAAGACTCTTACATTATTTGGGATGTGTAAATGAATAGTAAAAAGACACATTTTTTTTTTAAAAATCACTTAAATTAAAGGTCACAGTGACCTTGAAATAGGTCGCGACACACCTTCTACCTGAGATGCATAAACTGGCCAAGTTTGATGATTGTAGGTCTTATGGTTTTCTAGTTATGGGCCTGAAAGGATTTTTCCATATTTGGCTATAACTTCTTAATTAAAGGTCAGAGTGACCTACTTTTTGTGCGCGACACACCTTCTACCCAAGATGCATCAGATGACAAAGTTTCATAATCCTAGGCCTAGTAGTATTAAAGTTATGAGACGGAAACGAAAAAGCTAACAGACAGACGGACACGAAGCCTATAACATAATACGTCCCGTCTTAAGACGGGCGTATAAAAATTAATTATTCTTTAGACTATAAAATTCTAAGTGAGACATGACTGCAATTTGTTGCAAATATATAAAAATTGAAATGTAATTTTTTTTCAATGAACACATGTAAAATTAATTTTAATTATATTATACAATACAAATTCAGTTTTAATCATACACTAAAATATCAATTTGTTTTAATTACATAACACAAATTGAAAGATCTTTATCTGCACTACAGCCATCAAGAACTCTTAATTAACACAAACAACTATAAGGCCATTTCTTTTTGCCCAACTCCCAAGAGATAAATTAAGATTAGATCTAGAGATGCTCTTGCCAGTTAATTCCCGACAATGAACTCATTAATTTCTCTCTAATTTGACATGCACATTTCTGCTATCAAAAATTCTCCTTGACCAGAATTTGCTGTAAAGTACATGATAAAAAATAAGTTTTTACTTAATTTAGCATTTTTCAATAAGGATACAACTATATTTTTACATTTTTTAGGATTATGAAATTTAAAATTTTAAAGACTTAGTTTTTTAAAAAAAATCACTTAAATTAAAGGTCACAGTGACCTTGAAATAGGTTGTGACACACCGTCTACCCAAGATGCATAAATTGTCCAAGTTTGATGATTGTAAGTCTAATAGTTTTCTAGTTATGAGCCAAACAAAATCACAAAATAAAAAAGAAAAAACGCCTGTAAAATGCAGAAAAATCACCCAATCATGATGAAAATCCCAGGTGCACACCTTCATATGGTGAATAATAAGTGTATAAATTTTCAGACAAATCCATCCAACAGTTTCTGAGAAACGGTCCGGACAAAATCTTGTCTACAGACAGACAGACAGACGGACAGACGGACAGACGGACATGGTGATTCCAATATACCCCCCTAAACTTCGTTTGCGGGGGTATAATAAGTCAAACCAAACTCTCATGCATGGACGTACCTTATCCCCTCCATGACCTTCTGAGACTGGGTCATAATACACATTGACAATGCCGGCTTTCTGACAGCGATCGGCAAACACACGACCTGTATTGACAGCTGCTGACACATCTCTAGCACTATATAACACAAAATAAGGAGATTTCTATTACATACAGTCTAAATATAGCTTCTACTAGATCAGCTGTTTTAATCAAATGTATTCATTCAGCTTTGACACAATTCCTTCATAGCTTTTATCATAAACATTTGAGAGTAATAAATTAAATTCAATTTATTAACTAATTATATTCATTAGGATAAAACTTAACTTCATCATATTTTTCAATGAACAGAATCAAATTAATCAACAGTACATGTACCTGTATAAAAACTGCCTTATGGCCCACTCTGAAGATGAAGCATAGACGACCTTCCTCCCTGACGAATGTTCTAGGTACACCTCTACTTTGTTGGAGGTAGGATTAATATGCAGTCTACAAATATATATACCAGTAATTTCCACAATCTTAATTCAAAAATGGTCATTACAGGTAATTCAATTACACAGGATGAAAAAACTGGGCCAAAGGCTCTAACTTAAAACTTTTGCTTAAAATTAAAATATTAAAATATCCTCTTTTTCTTTATAATTATTATACACTGTATTCACAAAAAATTTAAATTTCTCTTATCAAGTACCCATTTAATAGATAAATTATAAGACTGTTCATTAGAGTAAATCTAGTTATACTATTACTTGTAATAAAAGTTTCGTGAAGGTCTTTGAAATCTCCATCCTTTTCGTCTGGGAGAAACATTCATATACTCTAGGCACCTGGAGGAAAATTGTGTACATGACTGAATTTGTAAATGCAGCCTCACTAAGTTAATCCCACTCTCGTGTGATGTGTTATACATTTTTGCAAATCCCTTAAAAAATTTAATAAGCTCATGTCCAATAATACATCCACATAAATATTTAAATTTAAAAAGATTTTTTTTTAAATAGGTGTAGCTAAAATATTTTCTAATCAAAGAATAAAAAAAAAACTTCATGTATATAATACAATAATAATAAACCATGTACAAAGGGCTATAACGCTTTAAACTATGTATCCCTTTTTATTACATTTTCATCGAGAAATAGTTTCCCAGAAATTTATAATTTATATTCATGTATACATTTTAAAATTACAATTATTGGAATATTCATTATAACTTCCGATTATCTTTACCTGACATACCTTTAAAGACCCAATTTTTTTACCGTACGGTTACCTGAGGAGGGGGAGTGGTCAAAGTAACAGTGGTGTTATTTACCTGGAGACCCCCAATACCCAAGATGTCAAAAATCTGGGTATGCGTAGCATTACACAGGAAGTCTGTGTTTGGTAATCTGGGTCAACATTATGTGTTTTGTGTCTGGCTTTGAGTGAAACTACGTAAAATAATTATTTTAATATATGAAATTTATTTGTAAACTAAACGCATTCATCATTATCATGGTAATGTTTTGAAGGCAAAAAAAAAAAAAATAATAAGATACATGTCGTTTTACAAAATGTTTTTCTTACATAAAACAAAAAATCACGAGTAAAAACTACAAATCAATAACAATTATCTATTTTAATCTTCAATAAAAGAAATCACTTGATTAAAAAAGTCTGAATATTGAAATAAAAAAATTATGATTCCACCTATTCGTCGTGCATGCGAACATGCATTTACCACGATCGGAATGTTTTTTTTATGGCCAATAATGTTGTCCAAAATATTCCATATTTTTTATTCTTCGTGTGTTTACAAAATTTTATTGTTAGAAAGATTTCTTTTCAGAATTGATCACTATTAATCTTCACATTTTCATTACGTATATATACAGACGCTAGAGGAAATTCGAGCATTAATTCTGACATCAATTTCTGTACAACATCGTGCGGATTGTATAGCCATAGTACAAAATAAAACATCTTTTAAAAACTTTGCTATGCCGTTTATTAGTGCTGAATATTTTTCTTATATCCCATTTCTTAAAAAATAATTTAAATCGATGGACTTCTAATTACGGCAAATAGAGCCAGTTTCTGTGGACGCGGTCTTTTTTTTCTAAAGATAACGTGGACGATATAACACTTACAAGAAACAAACAGCAGTAAAGATAGAAAAGAAATATTTTATTATGTCAATGTTTTAATAATCTACTTTCAATTATTTTTTAAAATAAAATTCAAACATATTCTAACCCGCGTGTATACTATGCGGGTACATGAAAGCGTTTGGCGCGTGACCAGGTAATTGTTCTCAAAACATGCAAACTCAGATTATCAAGAAGCACAGGTAGCTGACCTGTCAATCAAATCAGAAGCTTTTGTTTTTTTAATGATTGACAGGCGGTAAATTATTGATCTTGAATCAGGTAGATTTTGGGGGCGTTAACATAAAATTGGGTGTTTAAAAGCTAAGCAAAGTAGAAATTGCAGTTTTTCAACTTTAAGCCCCCGAAAAAAGTGCAAGTATCACTAGGGAATCACCTGAAGTTTGTCTTGAGTGATGGTTCCTCATTAATCTACCGTATAAGCAGAATTCTTAGCAAGGATTTAATTTTGGCATTATTAATGAAGGTGCTGAGATCGCTAAAATTGAATATCACTAAAAGTTAATTGCGTTTCAGTTGCAATGGCTTCTTTAGTGAGTTTTTTTTAATATCGTTAAAATTACTTCTTGCTAAAAATAAAATTTCTTATTTTTAAGGACAAATCACCAAATTTGCCTATCACTAAAATTTTCACTTATACGGTATCTAACAAAAGCAATAATAATTTCTGTCATACCTATCATTTCTGTTGATGAATTCAGGGTTTATCTTGTAGTCTTTATTGTCTTCTGAGTAATGAGCTGCTGACAAAGATAGGGTACGAGCTGAAAAACAAGAAATGAACCCCAGTGTCTTACACATTCAATTACATGACAAAGTTAGTTATATGTAAGTCCTTAAAACTTGTTCCTAGAGAATTTCATCTCAGTGACCTAATATCTTAGTTGTATGTTAATTTAATTTTGAACAATACCTTATCCACCTAAGCCACTGAAGTGTATGGTATTGGGCAACAATTTTATCCCTCGTCCTAACATATGTAAATATTCATCCTTATTTTGGTCAGACTTTGATGTAGGCATCATCGGATACCCAATATAGATCTCATCTTTCATCATCCATGATCAAAATAGGGATCTAGAATTCTTTTTTTTAAAGCCTTGAACATTATATGGGAGTACATGTACTTTCTCAATCTTTAAAATACACAAGTGAATGGATTATTTATTTGTCAGCAGTTAGTTGTCTAAAGATTTTTCTCATTGCTAAACACAATAAATGATGTATGCCTTGCACTGTGCTGTCTCTCACAGTCAAAACATTTATTCAGTAGACAAGTCAGAACATATATATCATACCAAAAATATTAACTTCTTTTTTTATGATACATCTAACCTAGCTCCATATTGGCAGAAGACCTTATCACAACAAAAAATGAGATATTTACATAAAAATATGTAGTTTTATCAAGTGCTTTAGCCTTTACAAAATTTCGAATTTCCTCTATAGCATTTAGAAAGATCCTACGTTCAGCATCAACTCGAAAAAATCATAGTTGAATTTTTCATTTCATAAAAACACATACCAGCTATTTTATGAGTTGAATGCACAGCATAACTTCTACATAAGCAAGTAAACGGTGTAGAAGCAAGAGAAACCAGTGAGCTACCAAGTGACATTTTCGGTTAAAGTTAATTAATTCGAACAACGAATATTCTTACATGTGCCCGAAATCATTCTCCCCTCTAAAATTTTAAGTTGTTTCAAATAAAAGAAAATAAAAGTAAGAGAGGCTAACTTTAAACTATTTCAGAATAATTATTTCATTTTGTTATCATTCCATTGAAAAATATCTTTTACATACCGACTGATTCAAAGTATGCATTAATATAATTGGCAACCGGAACCACATGTTTTTCCATCATTTCTAAACCGCTGGAAACTCTGCTGTCCAGAAATTTTGTGGAAAAAGTGCTGATATAATCAAATGTAACTGTCCTCTTTGATTTTAAAACAATTTCTTTTAATATATGACAGTTAAAAAGTTTATTCTATGTTGTTTCTAATTCTGTTTGGCTCACGGTACAATTAAATATCGAGGAAATTCGGTTTCTCCTGCTAAAGAGTTTAAAAAACTGCACTTATCGTTAATTCTCCTTTTTTTCTTCAAATTTATCCTCTGAGTAATGAAACCTCATTGAAATATGAACTAAGTATCATTGTAATTAAATTTTTAATTATATAACTTTAAACTATCTAAGTATTCTAAATGTATTGTATTACAATTGGTGTGCATGATATTTGGCGAAAATTAATTTTTAAACAAGTTAGCGTAAATTTGATTTAGCATTATATGAATGTGCTAGATGTAACGTATGATATACAAGACATTTAGTGGTGTACTTGATTTAGTGGACTCTGCGTTCCACTAAAATCGCTAAATAGAATACATTGCTGTACGTAATATGTTTACAGGATTTTTTTATAGAGATGGACCTATCCTTCAACATGAAAACAGTAACAAAATAACTGTCAGAATAACAATTAGCTGCAGAACTGTAGCTCTCTGCTTGATAAAATTCGGACAGATAAAGCAGAGAGCTACAGATCCAATAGCTGCAATAATGTAGCCCTCTCCGATTTTTTTTAATCTGATGTTTTATGGAGAGGGCTACAATTCCATAGCATCTCCGTAATGGTGCAAATATTTTTTTTTAATAGGAGCGACTGCAGGCAAAATAAATTATTTTTACATTTAACTTACTTCTAATAAGACGAAATTTTTATTCACTGTCAACAACAGACCCCGTTAAATGCGAAAAACTTGTAAAATAACTCTGCATGTTTCCTGGTAGTTTACTTCAGCAGCTATGACAGTTCACGCGTGACGTAATGAAACTTTCGCTTGAAATTTAGAACAACTGAATAAAGCAATTATCGGTGTTTAAAAATGATTGTGCTGAATTTCATCACAAAAACATAGGTATATAAAACCATTTCAAGTGTTATTTTTATGCAAGCAGCGTTATTTATGCTTAAAATAAGGGAATTCCAAAAAGATCCGCTCCTATAGAACCTAAATTCTCATTGGCTGTCCCAAAATACAATCTATCAAGGTCAGTAAACATGGCGGATAAATTCGAGTTGTGATGTTGACATACACGAAAAATAAGCGATATAGGGATCGTTCTGTATATTTTTGCATTGATTTACGTCTTGGATGACTACTTATTTGGAGTCAAGGTAAGAGATGTAAATAAAATAGCCATTTACTGATAATTTAAGCCGAAATCCGTGCGGGAGCGAATCACACCCGCAGCTGCACCATTATGGAGATCCTAAGGAGTTGTAGCCCTCTCCCAAAAAAAAAAAAAAAAAAAAAAAAAAAAAAGGGAGAGGGCTACATTATTGCAGCTACAGATCCAAGTGTTGTGAAAACCTTCGATATATGCCGACGATTTTTTATTGCTCACTATGGGTATTTTTTCGTGTATTTTATACTTTCCCCAGCTTTGAAAATAATTTTAAATGGTATTTAATAATTAACCATACATTTGACTTCAATTCCTGATCATTTACTTACCTTTCAATGCTAGAAAATGGCTGTTCGTGGTTATTGATGTCGAAATGGAATTCTTTTAAACCGACATTAAAAACTATGTACAGGACTCAGACTGTTTTGGACCGTTAAAAGGTAAACAAAGTATTAGATATAGGAGTTTAATATATGAATTATTATAGGATACCATTCTAAAAGCCAGAGAAAGCTTAAACTACATGAAATAAATACCTAAAGTAGCGACAAAAAATTGTTGGTGTAAATCGGTTTTTACAACGCTTGGATCTGTAGCTCTCTGCTTTATCTGTCCGAATTTTCTCAAGCAGAGAGCTACAGTTCTGCATGCTAAATAACAATATAACATATCTGCTTCATATAGCTTTTTTGGTCATTCAGCATGGTTATAGGCTATTGAAATTTTTGTTTGAAGAATGGCAGAAGAAGCTGAACCAGATGAGAAGAGAATTTTGGCTCAGTTCAAAAGTGAAAGTGGAGATGTTACAGGAAATGCATTTGATTTACCTTTAAACATCACAACAGAAAAACTGCAGATGATCTGTAATGCATTGTTAACAAATGTAAGTTATCATTTAAAGTAAAAAGATTCATGATATATGCCACGTCGTCCATTTCACTGAGTGTATTCATCTTTCTTTTTTCTAATTTCAGGAAGACCCTATCCCTTACTCTTTCTTTGTTAATGATGTTGAAGTAACTGACAGCCTGGTGAAGGCACTGGATGATAAAGCCCTAGAGAACACAGAACAGGTCCTGGACATAGTTTACCTTCCCCAGGCTATATTTAGAGTGAGGGCCGTAACAAGGTGTACTAGTACCATCCCTGGACATGCAGAGGCTGTCATTTCTGTATCATTCAGTCCTGATGGACGGTAGGAAATGTTTACCTGTATTTACAGGCATTTATTTACTTGTATTACTCAAGATTTATTCATTGATATACTGTACATTGGCAAATAATTACAAAGGTTACAATTTTAGAAGAAGTTGGATAGGTCAAAAGGACACAATGCAATATTTTATTATTAAAATTTCTGGTTTCATCCTACTTTATATTTCAGGTATTTGGCTAGCGGTTCGGGAGATACAACTGTTCGCTTCTGGGATGTACAGACAGAAACACCTCACCATACTTGCAAAGGTTGGATAATTATTTATCAAAGTACCTCAACTAATATTTTTAAATACAATTACTCTTTGAATATAATCATTATATTCACATTTGCATAAAGTAAGTTCTGGATATCATCCTTACAGGTCATAAACACTGGGTGTTATGCATAGCATGGTCACCTGATGGAAAGAAGCTAGCCTCAGGTTGTAAAAATAGTCAAGTAAGTTTTACTGAAAAAAAGTGGTACTTTGGAAGACTTTTTGGCTTTTTTCATTTCAAAGAAAAGTTCCTTTACCCTTCGATAAGTGAAACAACTCTTATTATGATACATGTGTATTATTTTTGTTCGTTTATGAAATTGTTGATGAAAAAAGACAGTTTCTTTCAAATTCTGCCCAGCTGGAATGGGTGCAGTTTAATTATGAATTAGAAAATCATGAGCATGAAGGCAAATTTTTAATGAGTGAGCAGAGGAATGATTAACATTGAAATGTATTTGTTTAAGATATACTGCTTCACATTTTGGTGGAATAGAGAACTAATTTTTTGTTTGGGGGGATTGAAAGAACAACTCCATATATTTACCTTGAGTATATTGTGTATATTGTTTTGATAAGTTGTGTGTTTGTGTATTTTAAACATAAGTATTGACTATGTTGTAGATTTGTATATGGGACCCAAATTCAGGCCAACAGAAAGGAAAAACTGTAACAGGACATAAACAGTGGATAACCTGGTTGTCATGGAAACCTTTCCATTTGTAAGATCGTCATTTGTAAACATCACATGTATTAATTTCTTTAATCCATGCTTCCTTTTTGGCTTTTTTATTCCTTCATTTTATTTTCTAAGAATGAATTAACAGTTTTATGCTGAATTAAAACAATTTGATTCGCTGTTATCAAACTCTATTGAAAATTTGCTTATCTTTATTTTTCAGAGATCCAGAATGCAGATTCCTTGCAAGCAGTTCTAAAGTAAGTTTTTAAAAAATTCTGAACAGATAAAAATCTGCAAAAAATATTCTCGATTTATTAAAAATGAATCAAATCACCATTTTTTTTTTTTTTTTTTTTACAAAACAACATTGTTTCAAAAGTATATCACAGTTGAACAAAAGTTATTTCAATTTTCTTTCATTTTATGTATCATTGTTAAATAAAAAATGGCTTACAGATTTATTACAATAAAATAAATCTTGATTTTATGAAAAAAAAATTCTGTGAAACTTCATACACCCCAAATGTTCTGTACTGTATACATTCCTTGTTTGTAGGATGGTACTATAAAGATCTGGGACACGCTCCTGAGTCAGTGTCACATTACCCTGTCGGGGCACCTGCAGTCAGTGACCTGTATCAAATGGGGAGGGACTGACCTCATTTACTCCGCCTCCCAGGACAGGACGATCAAAGTGTGGAGGGCAGAAGATGTAAGTGTGTTCTTCATCATTTGTAAAGTCCCATCTTGTAACTATTTTGAGGTGATAAAGGGAGATATAGGGAAGATATGTTTACTTATTTTTACTGTTTCCTTTTTAGCTCCCTGACTTGAAGCTCAAGTGAGCTTTTTTGAATCATTTGTTCATCTGTCTGTCTGTAAATGTTTCACATTTTTGACATATTCGTAAGAATCACTGGGCCAATCAAAACCAAACTTGGTACAAAGGATCTTTGAATAAAGGGATTCCAACTTATTTCAATGAAGGACCATGCTGGCCCTCTTTGAAGGGAAGATAATTAAGAAAAGGCAAAAATAGGTTGCATCTTTAGATAAATCTTATTCACAAGATCCACAGGATTGTAAAAAAATAAAAATAAGTCTTTGGAGGTAGGGTGGGGCCAAAATAGGGGATCAAGGTTTTATATCCTTATATTTTGAAATTCTTCCTTCTTCCTCTAACAAATCACTGGATCATAAAAGATGGAGCTCATGTTCTATCTACCTTATAGCCTCATAAATGAAGCTCTCTGCTTTAGAAAATTCAGACAGATAAAGCAGAGAGCTGTAAATCCAAGGGTTGTAAAA